CATGTCTGTTTTCTTCAGAGTGAGCTCTGAGCAGTTCAACTCGAAAGAGAAGTGGCAACAACTGAGATGATCTAAGCTGACTTAACTTGAAGTAAGATGTTGGGAGTAACTTTGTGGTTAACTGATCCTACGAAAGGAAGTCAGGTTTAACCTGTGGTCTTTACACTGTTTAAGATGCTTTGTTTAAATACTGTAAAGAAGATCCAGTCTCCTGCAGTGTGACATTGATTTAAAAAAAACTGCAATGTAATGTATACAGATCACTTGATATTGAATGTGTTTATATTTCACCCTGATTTGCTGCAGGTGAACTTTCCATTGTGGTTGCAGCTAAAATTAATGTTAAAATCAAGTAAATACTCACATTGCCGTACTCAGACAGTCTAAGGACCTGATCTACTAAGATCCCAAATAAAGAATGCATGTGCATTATAACAGATTTCACATTTGGTTGGTGGGTTCTACTCAAAGTAACTGTGTAAATGATGGTAGAGGCACTAGTATGTAAATGAGTATTTCAGGTGCGTTACTGGTTTCCGCCATGGAGCATTATGGAGAGCAGAGTGACTGCAAACGCAAAGCGAAATTAATCTGACGATGGCCATCAGTGCCCTTCAGTCAATCCAAACATGCTAACACAAGCAGAGAAAACACATTCTCAGATCCTCACAAGCTATTTCAAGAAAGCAAAAAGACAAAGGGACAGCACCCGTAAACCTTGTGTGAGTAACACATGTCAACAAACTGACCCAGTTTCTAGCAGTGTAAGATAGTTTGACTAATACAAAATTCATGGTGCAAACTAACACAATTCAGCAGTAACACACAAGCAGCATGGCTGGCGAGCCAAGTACAGCCGCCATGACTGGCAGGCAGGCTTGGTTTATATACTCCTCAGGTTCCTGGCACAAAACTGCACAGAAAAAGGGTTGGGTGCAAGAGGTGGCCTTAACACTTGTGGAAGCAGGACAGGCAAAATAACATAAATAAAGACTTTCAATCCAAGCAGCAGTAAGTCATGACAAATTGACAGTGAGGACTGGAATTTATTTCGTGTGTACAAGAGGAGTTCAAGATGGAGAAAGAAAATGTGAAGGACAAAGAATGAGAGGCAGGCAGGAGAAAAAAACAGGAGAGCGATCAAAATCAAACACAACACTGAAAAAAAATCTCCTTTTGACTCACGTTGTGTGCCAGCCACGGGGAAACGCTTCTGTTCTGTTTCACCCATGTACAACATGGCTGTTAATAATTAGACAGGACATGTATGCAGCCGATTCACCAGCAGAACAATCTGTTGCACACAGAGCGGTCTCCTTTTAATAATTAAAATGAATCTACTCTTGTGCATATTTGCATAAATTAAATGAATATTTGTTCTGCAAGGCTTGGCAAACACATGCCCGTCGCCGCAGTGTGTAAGCATGGACATGATTGGCAGAGTCTGATGTCCTCCAGGAGCAGTAATTTCCACACTGCGGCAGTGACACAGCCCAGTTTCACTGCTGTGTGTATGTGTGTGTGACCCTATCATGTGTGATTTACTGGATTTCCTCTACATGCAGCCACTTTTTTATGTGATTAAAGTGGTGCACAATCCTTTTGGGTTACGTGGGCCTGTGGGGTTGGACCCTGCAGCCCCTGACCTCTGGGCCGTCTGTAATCACAGCATATCCTGGGGGCCATCTCTATCTCTGCCTCACCGTCCCCTTTGAGGGCAGAACCAATGAACTGAGGCACAATATAATTCTTATTGATTGCTCTGTGCTCTGACTTCAAAATTGATGTTATCATATTCTCATAATTGGGTGTTGCTGCACTGCATAACTCTGCATGAGATAATTTATAGTATGATTTGAAGCAGACAATCAAAAAGAAGTGGCCTGTGAATAATTTATGTCTAGTTTTGAAATAATATTTTTTTTCTCAGAGGCACAATTACTGCCGTGTCCTTAGTAGGTGGGTCAGGAAGGCATGGACTCTTACTACATACATAAAGAAGTATATAGTTTTAGAACAACCAGTTTTCTCAATTTTAAACCAAGCAGTTCAAGTCCAGTAATTGACTAAATAACTTTAAATGGAACAAAGGTCATTTGTGAACTGAGGGGAAAACGGAAATAATGTCATGTTTGTGTGAAACAAGGCTTTTTCAGGGATTAAGACACTTTTAATCTAAGGCCTTCCTTTGAACAATAATTATTTTATTTTTGCTGATACTGCACCCACTGATGCAACATTAGGACAATTCAAATTGTAATTAGTTTGTCAGAGGGTCATCCTATAGCAACGCAATGAGCTAATGCATTAATTAAATCACAATTAGTGTAAATTATGTACAATCATAACGAGTTGAAAGCAATAGTAATAATATAAAAGTATATTTTGAAATTCTTTTTATTTAAAAAGGAAGAAAACAATGTACCATGATTAGAACCTTTCAAACAAACAGATTTGTTCTTATAGGGGAACTTGCTGCATTCACCAATTTCCTCATTTATAAGGTAATTCAGATAATATGGACCTAAACTCCAGTCTGTTTATTTCCTTTTCTTTATCACATGACTTCAATGGTCCAGACCTGTTTTCGCATGAAATTAGTCTCCTGTTATTCAGATGATGGTTTTCTCAAAGAGATTAGAATAGATAGGTTTAAACAATATCGAAATAAATATATATACAGATATATACTGTGGTAGAAGACAACTAAAAACACAAAATGTAATTTCAGTTGAACTTTGAAAGAATGTGTAAAGCATTGTAACATTTTACAATAAGGCTGAAATCCTGTTAAAAACTTGCTAAACAATCGAAACACATTTTACAAATGTCTTTGATTCAAAGTGTGGTCTTCAAATACAAAACATCCTTAATAACATGACATGATAAAATGACAAATGCATTTTTGCAAATAGAAAACCTTCTTATAAAAGAAATACACAACATATTCCTTGCGCATCATGCTTCAGACAGATATAGAGCATGTCTTATTGAAATATATCATGTGACTTTTGGCACAATCAGAGCAGAGCAAGTTGAAAAGCTGAAGATGACGGCGTACAGCTGAATGTAGGACAGCGGTAAATTTAGGTCCAGATCTTTGCTTCTTGACCTAGATTTTGGCTGCAGTGAGATTTCAGATCAATGGGGCCTTTGTCATTGAATGCATGTTCCCACGCAAGAAATCTCGGTGTTGTCTTTGATTCTAGTTTAATGTGGGATTCAGACTTCTACCGTGTTCGATCATGTACAAAATTGTAGTTTCATTTCTTCAGACATCCTTATCTCACATGCTGCTGCTTCTAAATGCCGCTGTGAGATTCCTCTCTGGCGCCAGGAAGAGCGACCTTATCTCTCCTGTGCTGACCTATTTCCATCTGCTACCAGTGAAGTTAAGATGATTTCAAGATTATTTTATTTGTATTACTCCACAACAGGACCCCTCTGATCTGATGACCAATAACGTCTTCCATCGTTTGTCAGATTCTTTTCTTTATGGCTAATACTAGAACCACAAATCCTGGGAACTGTTCTTCTTATCAGCTTCACACTTGGCAGTTCTATTGTAAATGTCCCAGGGAAGTAAAGTTGGTGCGATTTAGACACACAACACCTTCAGTATTGATAAAAAAGAGAACGAACAGGTGACTAGCGCTCTGGAGTAGTCTGTGGGGGTAGAACAGTCTGATAACAGTCCGTCTGATAATTTTGGCAATTTGATAAATTTTATTTCACCATAATGGACTGACTCAGGCATTCATGGGAGTTGTTGGTGCTGATCTCCATCATGGCAACATTCATTGAATCATTTCCTCTTCAGCAATTTGTCTTCAAAGTAAAAACACATCTGTTTTGTTGCTGCATTACTTTATATTGAGCTGAATTACATAGCTTTTATTTTGAAAATGTTTAATTTATGAAAAAGTAACAGCAGTTGAGTAAGTCATTCAAACGTTTATATGAGCCACACACGTAAAGAGTAATTAAGCAAATTCAGTTTCATTTTATGAATAGCATAATATACTAAAATATAAACTCTATATCTTCGTTGCAGATAAACCAGGTAGGATGAACGCAAAGTTTTCTAACTATATTATGTTTGAGGAGGACTCATTAATGAGTAGGAGTATTAACACAGGCCTATTCCAAACAGGCAAGTTTAGAATGGCTACTGGACTAGTTTATTCGGAATTATGCATTCAGCACTTATGTTTTTAAGTTTATTTATTATAATCCTATCTCTCTGTAAAGTGCTTTAACACTTTGACATTTGTGGTTTCTACTTTGATTACACATTGATTATTCTTTCCTCCACTGTGTTCGCAGTACTAGGACGGACATTCTCCTCATCACTCAGCCCAGTGGGGCACTGACCTCCTGATCTTAGTATTAGTGCTTTGCTCCTCCAAGCAGCACAATTACGATAAACTCAACTCTCACACTTTCCTTTGAACCACAGGAGGACGAGCTCCGTCTCCTAACCTGAAGGAGACCACGTTCTGTGAGGCAGTTATTTGAGGACAGAGTTCCTCATGTGCAGCCTTGGCTCAGCGGTGGTCACTGTTTACATAACCGGGTTCTGACTTTCAGATTTAAGACCCCTCTCTATCCAGGCGTCCACACACTCAGTGGGCTGGTTTTAATTAACTGAGGAGAGGAGCAATTTCACACTGACGCGTTGTGTTTTATTCTCATCTGTGGGTACATTTCAACTTAGCACGCAGTTTCCCCACTGGATGCCAGGCTCTGCAGCCCATTTGTCATGCAAACTAGAAACTGGATGAACCTTTCCCTGGGCTGAGGGCTGAAAATCAGTCAGTGGGTTTGTTCAGACATTTTCATGGTGTGATAGTTTGTAATTCAGGATGGGTGGAGGCACTACATTTTTCCATTTCATTTTCTGCTCTATGTAATCCTAATCAACTTTCCCTTGTAGAATAGATCTAACATTTGTGATTGTACATTTGATTTTAGTGTGAATATCTCTTTCTGCATTACAGATACAGGATCTGCATATGTGCATAAAGAAGTATCCAGGTGCTAAACACCACCTCTGGCAGTCATGAGGAATAGAGGGTATGTATTGAACTCTCATTCACATGATACCACATCCGCATCCAGCTTGCAGCTGAACAAAATGAGTTTTGCCGACAAAGGGAGATTTGTATTGTATGGATGTGGCCTTTTTAGTATCTTGTATTCCAGACACTGTCCAGAAGCACATGGCAGCACTTTATAAAGGTCAACTCATCTCAGTTCTCGGCGCAGTGAGCAGAAGCTTCACAACACACCATATACACACTCATGTGCAGGAATGGTAAATGGTTTGTATTTTTATGGCGGCTTCTAGTCTTAATGACCACTCAAAGTGGTGCAGTTTTGCCATTCATGCATTCACACGTTGCATCTATGAGCAGCACTTTCTCTATCACATCACACACAGCCGGCACAGCCATCTGGGGCAATCTGGGGTTCAGTATCTTGCCCAAGGACACTTCAGCATGTGGAATGGGGCAGACTTGGATCGAACTGCCAACCTTCTGGATGAGCCACAGCCGCCCAAAGTAGTGCACAAAAGTTATTTATCTGTGCTAAGACGATTATTGGAAGGACCATTTTCAGCAGACTGGATTATTCCTTCAAGGTCTAGTGTTTAAAGATTTAGGTGAAAGGGATCTATTGGCAGAAATTGAATATAAATTAATCCTAGCAATGTTTTCATTAGTGTAGTGATAATTTAAATTGTACAAATGGTTGTTTCTTTACCCTAGAATTGCCCCTTTATATTTAAATACTTTATATTTACATCGAGAGGGGGTCCTCTCTACGGACACCACCATGTATTTTACAGCTGTACAGACTGGAAAAACTAAGCACCTGTTGAGTTTCATAAAAAAGTCTACCACAGGTTTTTTTCATGTTTGAAAGAGGAGGGTAAGGTGAGGGTCATTCAGCTGCAACAGGCAAACTCACCACTCAGTTCTACACACTGAACCTTTGAATAAAATCCTTTCCATTTGCTTTCCATTCAGTTGTTATGAAAGTGACACTTTTCAACCTTTTTATTCGAAACATGATTCTTTGGCTAAAAGGCCTAAAAATATTTGTTTAATAATATATTTGGTTGTTTCCTTGGTCATTAATGTGACTTTGTGGAATATTCAGGAACATTTTTTAAAATCTGCACAGTGAGGGTGGACCAGCCTTGGCCTTTAACTTGTTTACCGGTCTTGCTTTCGGTGACTTGACCTGCTGCTGCTGCCTCGCCAGCACGTGCTGTTAGTTTAGTACTAACCTCAGCTAGGTGGGGGTGGAGTTGAGTGTAGGTAGACAGAGCAGTAAATCCACACCATGCTCATCCATCAATGTATGTGTGAGTTTCTTTGCTCTCTCGCTCCCTCTCTCTACCTCTTTCCCTCCAGCTTAGCTGAGCTATGTCCCTGCTTATACACATTCTGTGGCACATGATTAATCCTACCTCTCATATCTCTTCTCATGTGTCAGCACCTTTGCTGCTTTATAGGCTTATTCTGAAATGAAGTGACAGTTTCACCCTGAAATATCATCAAATTAAGACTGCTGGCATGTGTAAACAACGCAAATATACACTGAGAGCCATAAATCAAATGTAAGGGCAATGCCTAATTCTCACATTAAAAGTTTGTTGACCCTGTAATTCTGAGAGGTTGCTTTGTGTGCTTGGACATTTTTAGCTGGTATAACGTTAGTTATATCTCAGCTTCTCTCAGCTGAATAGTCATAGTTGGTATTTGTGACGCTGTATGCATTACTCCCTGAAAAGCTGTTTTCATAAATCACACATGGATTTATTGTGTGGTCACAGATAAAGCCTGGCATTTGGGAAACAATGGATGTTAACAGGCATTTCGCTCTAGTGATTGCATTTATGGGCAGGATAATATTATATGACAAGTAACAAAGGTGTCAAATTAAAATACAGTTAGCATTCAAATTTAAACTATGAAAACATAAAAGACAGAATCCCCCAAAATTTAATCTTATGGTTTTAATGTATAGAGTACTTTAACCTATATTATTATTTTATATTCACCATTTTGCACATACATTAAAGTTATCTTTATGTAAAAAAATAACTATAAAATCTAATCAAATTATTTTGATACTTTGATTTTTGTGCATATTTTGTAATTTTTCCAGAAGAATACAATAACTTTTTGGGGACATACGATATTTTGTGGAAACTGACTGATCCAATCACTAGCCATGTGTAGCCTAGACTGTTTATTTCAAAGTATTCTCCTGCCTTTTTCAACAAGCCCATGTATTACAAGTTGGTATGTAGCCAGTGCATTTTCAGACGTCTGTCCTTTCACAACATTTTAACATGGAAGATGATCCCTTGTGCTTTAACTTTGTGCTGTGACCATTCTGCCCCAGTTCTGAACTATTGAGAGACTTTTTGTATTTGGACTTTTTGAGGGATTTTTTGTTTACTTTTGTGAATCCCTGCCAGATGTTATGGACTTTGGGTTTATATTTGGATTTATTGACCTAGATTGTTTGGGCATTTTTTCTGTTGAATTGAATAATTTGATGGTTTGCTTCCTTAAGAATTCTTTCAACTCTATAAATAAATAACCTAGAAACTCGAAACTAAAAATATATATTGTATTATATATAATATATAAGTTTCTCTCTCTCTCGCTGGCTAACGTGCAGACATATGCAGACAGTGATGTATTTAATCCCTGTGTTTCTCCTTCCTGGGTATAATTTTGGTTCATCATTTGCTCTCCTCTCAAAGTAAAAGCTAGATCGCTAGGCAAACTAGTTTTATATCAGAAAAAGTAAGTTCCATTCTCTAAACGGAGGTCAGCATTGATGCCCTCTAGACATGATTTCATTCAAGTGATTGCAGTGTTTGCTAAGTCATTGAGAACTTCCACACGCTCAGTGTTATGTCTCTCCCTCATTATACAGAGATGGGGTCTTGCAGAGCAGTAAATCCACTCTCCCTCTTTCCCTCCAGCTAAAGCAGCTGTCTCTCTTTCATTGATCCAGCTCCGTCTATGGCAACTGTTGAATGTTAAGTTATTGGTACTGAAACCATGAATTATTTATAGTGCCCAACCACACAGATGTTCCATCAATCAAATAACAGCACTGACAGCATCAGTCAAAGCCAGAAAGTCAAGCTAAGTACCCGAATCACAGCAAACACAAGGGATGTGTACAGATGACAGAGCAAAAATGTGTTTTCATGTAATTTTGAACTTAAAGGTACTATAAGTAAGTACACACTTTTTTTTATTGACAGATGAGAGCAGATTGTAATGTATCTTTAAAAAAATCTTGGTTGCTTGTGGACTGATTTTTATGAAAAGAACTCTGTATATTTTCCAGGAAAATCCAATGCTCTCTTCATATGGGTAGTGCTTTGTTCACGAGACCAGTCAATAAGAACGTTTCCTTCTTGGGGGGTGCACGACCTTGGTATGTCATGTTCAGTCTTGTGTATGTCATGTCACTGTTTTTATAGCTTTTATTGTTTATAGCTTGTATTGTTTTGCCCAGGATGTTTGCTTGCGCATACCTACTGAGTGCAAACACAAACGAGTGGGAGCGAGAGAATAAAGACATTACAAGGGTTTTTGTGACGGTTACCTTCAACACCAGAGTATTAATATTTATCTCTTTATAGTTTTTGTCAGGCGTATGGGGGAAAAAAACCTCAGTTTCAAGTAACAATTAGTTTTTCAGGTTTGTCGAGCAAGTGTGTCACTTGAATGGTGATGAAGAACAGGAAAACTATCTCTGGAGCTGTGGAGATCTTTGTAGGCAGCCTGCTAGAATAAGTGAGCGGAAGACCAACCGGTGGAAGCAGATGGCTGCCAACATTTCTTCCAGTTAACGAGGGAGTTTTTTTCTCCACAGTTGCCAGTGCTTGCTCATTGAAGGAATTGTTGGAACTGTTGAGTTAATGTATATTATGATTTGGCGCTATACAAATTCATTTGAGTTGAACAGTTCTCTGAAAATCTCATCTAGCTCCTTGATTCTCAGGCTGACTCCTCTGCATATGCATGAAGTCAAACGCAGTGGATGTAATATGACATGTGTCATATAACCATGCACATATGGGCTCAACATAATGCACACATGCAGACATCTACTCAAATGTGAGGTGCAGCTCTGAAATCAGCTATTCCACTGTGTTTAAATCATCACCTGTCAGCACAAATCTAGGCTGCTTCTGAAGGGACTGAAATTTACATTTTCAGACTTGCCATAGAAATCACCTGTCTACCTGTGTGTGTTGCTTATTGCACTGTATAGGAAGTCACCAATTCAATCAAAGATCGAAACATTCCTCTCTTCAACAACATATTTGACAATAACGTGACTTAACGTTTCCCCACACTCACAGAATTTATTAGCAGCAATTGAATTTGTTGTTGAAGCTCTGAAATGAAATGATTCATGTCCTATTTCTTAATTCAAAGGTTACTAGAAGCCGATAGTTGTTGTAGTTTGAAAGACAAGCTGCCATGTATTTCCTGTTTGACAAGTCTGAAAGGACCAATGTCAGCTAGTGTGTCCATCAAGTCAGGAGCAGAGAGAGTTCATGTTAAAATTAGAGCACAAAAAAGAAAAGAGCCATCACACATCTAGAGTACAGTTTACCCATGGGCCTCTCCAGACTAAATCAGGAGGCAAACTTCTAACATGAGTATACCAGATTAATTCTTTCTGGTCATTCACATTGTTTGTAAGAAATAGGATTCATGTATCACATGACGTTCTGCTGTTTTAGCATTTCTAATTAAGAAATAAAGCATCCAGGAGTATCCAGGCCATTGGTCTGTGGCTGTGAGGTGGGTGAGGTTTGCATCTTTCTCCCAGAGGCCCCACAGATGAAAGCAGATCAATAGCAGGACATCCTCAGAGGAACCATCATTTTGATCCTGGTTGTGACTGCCTGTCCTCACTCATGTCTCTGCCTCCTGTGTAGGCCACTGGCAACAAGAAAGTGGAAATAATTCCAATGACATAATTACCTCTGATTCAATGCAAACACCAAATGCCACCTTACA